AAAAAAACACACTTACCAACAAACTTGATCTTGTAGCAGGTGCCATCTACAGATAAACCTCTTTCTTTAATGATGTTTTTTTCATGATTCAACCGTCTGATAAGCTTTGGTATTTCTTCCCTGGAGAAATATGATCATTAAATAGTGGTATAACAAGCAACTTTAAGATGGTCCCCCCAATCCCCCTACATTTAATGACCGCTTTAAAATATGTTACCTGTTCTCTTTGCAGTTTCCAATTGCTAATGGATAAACTGAATCAGAACTCTCTGGACATGAGTGATTGAAATTCACTGCAACTACTCCCACAGAGACTTGATCTTTACCTGTTAATGTAATCAAAAGGCTGAGCCATTGACAACACCTACATAACAGAAACTGTTATGTAGTGAATAAAGATGGTAAATTTTAAGCTCAGAAATGGTTGTATTACAAAGTTTATGTTGGTTAAAGAATTCACATCAACAAGGAATTCAGAAAATAATGAAATATCTAACTAGCGTTGATCATGAACACACATGTATTTGCTGTCTTAGGTTTTAAATATTATCCTACTTATTCTATCTTTCACCAAATCATTTCAATTGTTAATGATTTGTACACTAAATAGCATGATCTTAAAACTAAATTGGCCAAAAAAGATCGCATCATAAACAATTCTGTTAACTAAGAATAGTTAACACAGTACTACACACAGTAGACAGTTAATTGATTTAGTAGAAGTGATCATCAAAATTATGATGCCTAAGCCATAACAGTAATAAAAACATAATACTATCTACACCAATAATAAAAAAACAACAACGAAGCAGAAAATAATTATAGCTACTGTAGTAGTGGTCTCAACAGCACCAATAGACTATAATTATATAACATTTGACATTACCTGCAAAAGGCCTCCCATCCAACTTGAGGTTAAAAATCATAGAGGGGTTTGCTGAATTATGTAGTCTAGCTTCTCTGATTGCCCAAATTAGCGTAGGAGCTAGACCAACAGAATATCCTGTGATTCCGAACTGAGGATCAAGAGGCTCTATTTTCATAAGAGACCTCACTGTTGAAAATATGACTGACTTGCATGCTTTGATCATGTTCTTTGTTAGGAGACACTGTAGGTCACCATCTTTCTTTTGTTAAAAAGAAAAAATATGACAATTAGCACCCTTAAGTGAGTTTGTGTGACTTAAGAACCAAAAAACCAAAAATAAGCATAGTCAGCCATTAAGAACAAAATGCAGTAAATGATTTTCTGACCATGATGTTGCATATGGTGATTATCTCCAATTATAAACAATTATTGGATAAGGTTTTTGTGATATCCAGAATAATCGAGGTCAAGGTACATATAGGGGTTATCAGCCGAAGGTGGGGGCTTCATTATTTTCTATATTCCTTACTATGCATTGAACGAAAAAAAAAAGAAACCAAAGTCCTGTTTTTGCTTCTTCACTGACGGCAAGCAACACAAAGTGCATGAACTTGACATGATTACCCTCAGAAATCATGCACTGCGGTCATACATGACACCACTACCCGTGACCTTGAGTGTCCTTGGCATGATTATTATATAATCTGCAGCTACTAGATGATATCACAGGTGCTGATTTTGAAAATTCACTGTACGCTTTCGGCCAATCAGAAAAGAGATTATAGTGAGTTCAATGTATAATAAACTGAATTAATGTTGCCTTTTGGTCAGTGCTTACTTGTGATCAATTAGAAGGACAGGGGCAAAATGACATCATAAACATCAATTCCTTTTTCTGTTTTGACTCTGAGTTCAGCTAAATGTATCACTATTTTGTCCTTACCACAATGTGATGTCATCTGTGATCAATTACTGAACAGACACATGACTCTATTTGTTAAACTGAAGTGTCCATAGTTTGATTAGCAGTTAGGATTTGCATTTCTTGCTCATTAAAGTACAAAATAGAAGAACAATGAGCCTACACTGTAAATCACAGAGTTAAAACCACAACATTCTCAAATGAATAAAACATCACTTACCCCACTTCTTCCAAGATTTAGGAAGTTTAAAATGGTTTGCCAGCCATTGTCCGGTAACTTTGTCTCCAGTTTGACATAGACTTGTAACCAATCTGGCGCTCGCATGGCAATCTGTTGCTTTTGCTGAACCTCGGGAGTAAACGCGAAGTCTGCTGCAGCTTTGAGTCCTTTGTTTAGGGCAACAATCTCTACGGCTTCTGAAACTGCTGAACTCACAGCCAACTGGTGTTCCTGATTGCCATAAATAGATCCGTAGCCCAGAATGGCTCCCAAACTTCCATAAGAAGAGTTGAAGGCATTTTGGATCGCATCTAAAGCAATGCCACAAACCGATCTCATTTCTCGTTTCTTGGTGATGGGTCCAAGCGAACTTTTCGCGACACTTTCGAGGTTTGATGATCTTATAAGTTTTGACGGCAAAGGTGTCTCTGGAGGAGTTTCCATAACTGCCGAGATCGAAGCTTCCACTTCTCTAACTCTGTCTCGATAAAATTTTAGTTCCTTTTCAAGGATGGCGATTCTCTGGCTTTTCGGTGTTCGAGCGTCGATTGCCGAACCCACATTGCGATCGCTGACATCAACATTGTTTATTGTGTCAACGACAAGCTCAAAAATTCTGGATGACAAAAATCCGCTTTCTTTCGTCGACGACTGCTTGAGCGAGCCACCAAGGAGACCAAACAAAGATATGGCGAAGGCTTCTTCTGAACTTTTCACTGAAAACCACTCGAACGGGACGTGCTCTCCGTTTTCCCGCCATAAGTCGCCGATTTTAACGCGACTAATTTCGCTTGGAAATTCCTCAAAAAACTTTCCTTTAACAAACTGACCGACTTTTCGGCCCACAAGTTCACTAGACAAAGGGTACCATCTTTTCCTCTGGCTAAGACAAGAGCCATAAATACGTTGGAGAGAAAAATCTCTCGTCTCCTTCGCAGAGCGCGCCATTGTGTTGGCGCGCGAGACGCAAATAATTTGTCTTTCCCGCAAAATTCATCTCGATGCCAAACAAGGTAATTCAGTAATCTATTAACCATCCTCTTCTGGCTTTCATCTGATATTTCACATAACCTGATACCAAGAAATGACACATGCCGATCGGCCCAAGGGGATTATTTTTAATCTGCTTTGCGCCGTTGTTGACATAATTTTCTATCCCTAATGTAATTACTACGTTACGTCACAGACGTCGCGCTGGGAGATTCCCGCTGACTCCTGAGAAGGGTTAAGCTCCTCATGTTTCATGTTCAGTGGCATTATCATTTTTCAAATGATTAAAGAACAAGGTTCTCAATTATTTTAAAATTATTGCTGTTACAGTTATGTTAAATAGCTTATGAGAGAAAAGCTTTTTTGAGAAATATAAAAGATTGTGAACACAGAAGTTTAATTGATTGACTGACCTCATACCCTAGCTATGGACCTTTAGTTAGCTTTAAAAGTCAGCAATCAATTTATCAGCTTTGCTTTTAAATTATATAAAATAAAGCTAGTTGTCTATTTTTTGTGCTTCTGGGATTTGAATTCCCACATAATACACAATATGTGAGCAGTTCATACAGCTGCTTTACATAAAAGAATAAAGTTGACTTTACGCCAAGTGTAAACTCGGCTTAAAGCCGCCTTTACTNCTTTTCTGTTTCTTCCAACTCTCTTTCCCTTTTGTTTTACTTAATATCTCACTTGAGTATATGCCTAATATACGCCTAGTCGACGATGTTTTTCCAGTCGATGATAGTATCATTTTATTCTTAACATTTTTAGTCGTGTACTATTCCGGCTTTCAGAAGCAAACAATACACTGCTTTTGATGGTTTTTATAGAAACGATCCGTATGGCAAAATTCCGGCTAACAAAGAATCAATAAGGACTTCAGTTCTTACTTACCTCGAGACTATCTTGCCATATAATAATCTCCGGTATGGCTCTCGCGCTGGGTTTGTAAAGGTTATTAATTTTTTATGTCAATATATCTGCGTATGAGACTCATGATACATGCTCATGATATTCGCTTTGTCAATGCAATCATTCTGCTTCTTCATTGGTCCTGACAAGTCCCAAGGGGGAGTGGCCAATTAAGTATACATTTTACATTTTTTGTGCGCACTCTTACTGAGTGTTTTTGAATGCAAAAATTATTAACGAGATCTACCGGAATAGCAATGTAAAGGAAGATGGTGATT